AGTCTAGTCTATATAATGTTTGTTGGCTCTATTTTAGGTATTTCCATTTCTAGTTTTGGCCAGATTACCCATTTTAAATAAGGTATAGACCCACTAAATGAACGGGTCCAGATCGGATCCGGTCCGGATGAGTTACTTAATCAGCGGGTCCTTATCGGATCCGGTTCGGATCCGTTTCTTTATCAACGGGTCCGGATCGGATCCGGGCCGGATGAACCACTTTATTAGCGGATACGGGTAGGGTCTGGACCGGATCCGGTCCGGATCCGTAATCCTTATCTGTTCCGGATCCATTGCGCTGTGCAAGTGGACTCCGATACGGACCCGTTTTGTGGATCCGTTCTGGAGCTTGTGGTGACTCTGGGGCGGATCCGCTCCGGAGTCATTTTGCTATCTGGGACACTATAGCACACAAAACAGAGCTCCATCCTCACAGATCCAGGTGAGGAACAAGCCATGTGTACTGCTTGTAGAACATCAGGACAGCTGTATAGTTATGCTGGCAGATACTGTTGACAATTCGGATGGCAAAAAGAACACTTACAAGCAACTACCAATGCGATACATACAGTAGGCTATATTGCTCACAATTCCTTCATATAGAAACTGACCAAACAGTGAGTTTTCCGTGTCACTATTTTTCATCCATGGAAAATCTGAAAATCTTTGAAGGCGATATTTTGGCTGTGACCCTGAAAATATTCCCAATTAAGTGATACTAAAATCAACTTTCTGTTCTTAAATGGTTAGTTCACCCAAAAATGAAAATTAGGCTGTGTTTTACTCACCCCCGAGGCATCCTAGGTGTATATGACTTTCTTCTTTCAGACGAATCCAGTCGGAGTTATATAAAAAATTGTCTTTGATCTTTCAAGCTGTTTAATGCCACTCAGCGGGTGTTGCAGTGCTTCGGTCCAAAAGAACTTAAATAAAAATCGCCCATCCATAAAAAAAGTGTCTCACACGGCTCAAAGGCCTCTCGATGAATCGGAGAATCGATGAGTTTTTGTAAGAAAAATATCCATATTCAAAACGTAATAATCACTTGACTCTAGCTTGCGCTCACTGTTGTACACGGAAGCGTTTCCCTCCAAACTGAACAATCACGATCTGAAATCAAAAGTCAAAATGGAAACATAAGGAGTGCTGAGCTATAGATACACTTATTTAAAACCTTTTAATAAAGACTGAATTATTACTGGGTCAAAGAACCAAAAATAAATGAATAAATACAGGCGTGAACAAACTTGAAACTAAACTTAGTGAGAGGTATATACCACTGATTGACATTTTGTCTCCTGTTAGTTGTGCAACATTTACATCTTATAAACCAGCTATGCTCACACCATGACACAATACATATATACATATATATATATATATATATATATATATATATATATTCAATGATGTAATGTAATGTGATGTGATGTAATATTACTCTCCTGTAGTGGATCAGAAGATATATATATATATATATATATATATATATTCAATGATGTAATGTAATGTGATGTGATGTAATATTACTCTACTGTAGTGGATCAGCAGCAAATTAAATCAGAGAGTTGCATTTGTATAATTATATATGGAATGACCAAAACAGATCGTTCTACATGCTGGCTTGTTATTTTCCCCAAGAGCATGGTCTACTCAAGTCCACATGTCATACTAACTAGAAACTGTGCTTCTGAGCACAGGTCCTGAGCTGTAACTCCAAAACACACTGCTAGGAAACATACCCCTGTTCAACATTTGATTTTTTGCTACCTGAATGGCGAAAGTGCCCAGAACAATGGAGCAGAAGATGGGGTTTCTGAAAATGCCGTCAAACACGTTCCTCTCTCCATGGATCTTGCGTGCGTTGATCTCGTTGAAGAGCTGCATCATGACGAAGGTGTTGAAGATGATGGTGTAGTGCTCAGATGGAGGAGAATGCAGCGGCGCGTTCCTGCCACTGTCAATGTCAAAGATCTGCTCGCCTGGATCACAAACACAGCGTAAGACAGGACTGAAGATCCCACATGGACTAGATGTTTCGGTAACACTTTACTGAAAGCCTTTACAGTATAATGCATTATAAAAGGGTTATTAAATGGTATAATGCATTATAATGTGCGTTGTAATACATTGCATCTTTTCGGAAATAATTATAACCGAATTTAAAATGCATAGTGTAACAATGAATTGATAAGTGTTATAATGTATTAACTGTGGTTACAGTTATTCATAAGATTGTACAATGCATTACAAGGTGCATTACAAGCCATAATTAATGCATAAAAACTACTTTTATAATGCATTACACATAAAGGCTTTAAGACTTAAAGTAGTTTTTAAGTAAGTAAAGTGTTACCGATGTTTCTTCAACTATTTGTGTAAAACCATTTGAAAAAATCGATTTAATAGGCATTTTCAAGGCATAAAAGCATAAGCATATTTGCTTCGCATGCATCGCAGATCTACAGTTTAAGGTAACGCACCCACAAACAGCAGTGTGAAGATGATGATGAGCTGGTACACGCCATGGCCCAGGATGTTCTTGGTCATGGTGCTGGAGATCAGGGGTTTGTTTCGGCCGTAGGGTTTCCTCATCAACAGAGCCTCGTTGGGCGGTTCAGTGGCCAGAGCCAGAGATGCAAACGTGTCCATGATCAGGTTCACCCACAACATCTGCACTGCTTTCAGAGGAGAATCCTGGAAGAACATACAGTCTGGTTAAACTGGACTTCCTCATCACAACTCGTGAGACCAACAAAACATAATGAACTGAGCTAGAAGTTATACAAGCATTCAGTGTTGGGGAAAGTTACTTTTAAAAGTAATGCATTACAATATTGCATTTCTCCATAAAAAAGTAACTAATTACATTACTTAGTTACTTTTTATGGAAAGTAATGTGTTACGTTACTTTTGCGATACTTTTTAAATCTGGACAGGGCTTGCTTGTTTGTTTTTAAAATAAAAAAGTGATATTTTTGGCAAATATAAAAGCCTTTTCACACCAAAAGTGAAATGAATAAGCCTCAGGCTGAAGGGAAAGTAAATTTACGTCCGTACAGTAGAATGCAGAAGAAAAAATGTCAACACACTTCAGCAATAGAAAAAGACACACAAATGTTTGTCTAGAGTAATTTTGGCTTATTAGTACGGTTGAACTGGATCATCGAAGGTCAGAAGCAAAGACATCGGTTAATAGTGTCACGAATCCAGTCCGTGGCCTTCCGGCCGATTGTCACTAGAGGTCACTCTACCATTACATTGACTCTCACACTACACAGACTGTTACATGTCACTCCGGACTACAGTTCCCATCATCCATTGCACTTACACAGCTGAATTCACTGATCACACAGCCGTCACTAATCACACGCTCACCTGAGAGCCATTACACACTCTATTTAACACTCTCTCAGTTCCTGTTCAGATCGCCGTGTATTGTTCTGCGTTTATCACTCATCTAGCGATAGCGGCATTACCGAGCCTAGTGTCTTGTTTTCCTTGTTTTCTTCGTGTTCTGATCACTGCTTGTGTACCTGGATTATCCCTCGAGTCTCGCCCAATTGGATACTGTTCGCCCCTGCCTGGACCTTTGCCTTGTTACCTGGATTATCCCTCTTGCCTTGCCATCAATATACCTGTTTGCCATTTTCTGACCTATGCCTGTTTTGACCACATCTGTTAATAAAGCCTTGCAGATGGATCCGCACGCTTCCTGTGTTCCCTCCGTAACAAATAGAATGGGATTAAATACATAAAGGATATTTGTGTTCTTTTAACATTTAATTATTGCAGGTTTGCGTCATATTCTGAGTTGCATTATTTTTATTCATTTTGAGGAATACTGAATCTGTTTTGTTTTTTTTGTGAGTGAGATGAAATAATGCATATTCATATTTATTTTAGAACTAGAGTAACATCTTCTGATTTCTCTCAACATGGGGACAGGAGAGCTGTCAATCAATAAATTGGAAAAAAAAAGTAACTTTGAAAAAGTAACTCAGATATTTCCTTCTAAATTTTGAAAAGTAATGTTTTACTTTACTAGTTACTTGAAAAAAGTAATCTGATTACGTAACTTGCGTTACTTGTAGTGTGTTACCCCCAACACTGCTAGCATCGTCCTCGTGTATCAAAATATTAGTAAGAAGACCCTGAAAGTCGTTAACCCAGTGTACGATTGAGTGCCCTCGTTCATCTAAAGCTCTCTGGATGTTCATAACTTCACCCAGTCTAGCCTCTTTCTCTCAGAAGTGCTGCATCATTTATTAGGTCAGAGATCCTCTAGGAAATTAAACAATGCTATTTTAGATCACAGGGATGAAGTCTTTGGCCTTGGCCTAGTAATCTAATATAGATTCTTTGCCATTGCCACATGTCTCTGCGTAGTCTAATTTGAGATTTCATAGTAGGTCGGATCTATCATGTCATAAAAGACATCTACACTTACATTTAGTCATTAAGCAGATGATTTTATCCAAAGCGACTTACAATGAGGACAACGGAAGCAATCAAATCCAACAAAAGAACAATAATATGTGCTGTGACAAGTCTAGGTTAGCCTAACACGATATGCAAGGGTATATATATAAATAAAAAGAAAACAAGTAGTTAGAATAGAAAAATAATAGGAAATGGTAGTGTTAGATGGTCATTTTTTATAATAAAAAAAAAAAGTAGAATAGAAATTGAATAGAGAGTGCAAGTGTTAGAGGATCGTGTTTATATAAATACTGTACACACACAAACACACACACACATATATACACGAAACATCTCGTTTATGGTAGCAGTGGTTTTAAATTAAAGTAAGTGGTTTTGTGTATTTCATAAACACAATGTGAGTAGCCTGTACAAAACTCTCTGCTACAACGCTAGTGTGTTGGATGGTTGCCAGGGAGTTAGTTTGAGGTTGCTAAGGTGCTCTGATCCCACCCTCAAGTCTCTATGATCCTCTGGTCTCTAGACATGGCTCAGGTCCCTCCTTTTAATGTAAATCTATGGAATTTTTCACCTGTTTTATCAACTGTCAGATAAAAAAGTGAGATGCTTTGATAGATTAGATAGATAGGTGCACATTTTACCTACCAACTCCAAATGTTTGAACGTTAACACATGCTGAAGTTTATTACTCAAGTTTAGAGGCTTGCTCAAATCACTCGTGCCAGGTTTGAGCAATGATAATACTGACGCTTGCTTTAGCAAACAGCACTACACACTCAGCAATACAGTGAAAGCTCATTTAGAGGCTCACTGTGAGCACAGAGGCACAAACCTGGGTTATACAGGCTCCGGTAAAGGCAACAATCACAGCCACCACGTTAACGGTCAGCTGGAACTGGAGGAACTTCGAGATGCTGTCGTAGACATTGCGTCCCCACATCACGGCCTTCACGATGCTGGAGAAGTTATCATCCGTCAGGATGATGTCAGACGCCTCTTTGGCCACATCTGTCCCTGCGATTCCCTGTTAAGACACTTCACATCAATCCTTTGCTTCAAATTGCATCAAGTGCCAAAAACGTCCTTAAAATCAAAATCATTTATTCATTCATTAAAATCACAGTGATCGGCATAGACAGAACCATATGTGACCCTGGACCACAAAACCAGTCATAAGGGTCAATTTTTCGAAATTGAGATTTATAAATCATCTGAAAGCTGAATAAATGCGCTTTCCATTGATGTATGGTTTGTTAGGATAGGACAATATTTGGCTGAGATACAACTATTTGAAAATCTGGAATCTGAGGGTGCAAAAAAATCTAAATATTGAGAAAATCATCTTTAAAGTTGTCCAAATGAAGTTCTTAGCAATGCATATTACTAATCAAACATTAAGTTTTAATATATTTACGGTAGGAAATGTACAAAATATCTTCATGGAACATGATCTTTACTTAATATCCTAATGATTTTTGGCATAAAAGAAAAATCAATAATTTTGACCCATACAATGTATTGTTGGCTATTGCTACAAATATACCCCAGCGACTTAAGACTGCTTTTGTGCTGCAGGGTCACATATATGTTATGCATTACTAAAATTACACCTCATAAAATCTGTCAAGGTCATATTTTTAGAGTAACATCAAGAGAAACAAAAGAAAGAAAGAAAGAAAGAAAGAAAGAAATTTTATTTTGCATGAAGAAAACATTATAGGACCTTTTAAGGACTTTGTTTGCACTGTTGACATTATTTTAATGACATTCGTCCCCTTGGAATTATAAGGTTCTATCTGACATGTTTTGTCAAAATTGAGTTATTCACATATTCTTATTCTGTGACAACTTATTTACATTATGTGATAGATTTTTTAATGGTGTGTACATTTTTAAAAAACAAAAAGGTTCTATCTACACAGTCGAATGGAATGCAAAAACTTTGAAGCTCAATATCTCAAAACTACTCGGAATGCAGATAGAAGCTTATAATTCCAAGGGGACGATATACGCACATTCACTTTCCGTTTGAATTAAACCAGACTGAAGTGGGATCACCCTCATGTGGACAGTGAGTGATCATAAATGGTAAAATCTTGTTGGTGTCTGGGTAAAGAGTTTGTTTCTGCTCACACTGTGTTTGTGCTTTTTAAAGACTAGCCTGAGGGACTGTTCTCCCTTAAGACAGGTCTGACAGTAAAATCATGGTAAATACCACAGAGAGGAAGCCTCCCGCAGGCAGCTCGTGTCAGCAG